TTTTTGGCAGTAATGTAAATGCCCTGATGACTCTGAGGTAGAGAGCGAGACTGCTGGGTTACATTCTGGTTGTAAGATGATCCCTCCTCCTCAAGAGCTGACGGAGTAAGCGAGTGCTGCTCGAGACAGGAAGGGCTGCTGAGCACTGAATGCTAACAATTTATTTTGGATGCGATTAATAGTTTGACAGCACTATATATATAAACATTGAAATAAGTAAAAATCCGTTTTTTCCCAATATTTCAGTATTGATTCTAGGTAACAAACCTAAAAATTAGACATTTGCAATAGTGTTGGGTACTTACTAGAGACGCGCAATGGCGCAATCAATTATCGCTGAACGCGTCCTAATGAATCCCGTATTAACTTTATCACGGACGAGGCTGAATTCAGCGTCTTATTAGATCCGAGTACATTCGCCACATCTGTATACAGTGTGAATGGGCTTTCAAAAGTGCGCTCTGATTAATAGCATCTCATTTATTATGCTAGTACGCACTTACTACGCTCAGTCTCCTCTGTCAGACCCCTAATGGAGGTTGCTGTGTATTTTCCCCTGGATTCAGAACGCAGAGACCGCAGTGTACACCCATCCCCGTCTCTTCACCTGGGAGGGAGGTTGAACTGCAGTTTTAGGCCGCAAGGTTGCCCCTCTATCTGCGCACAAAGGAGTGCACTGTGATAGGAGTGAGCTCGGTTTGCTCCTTGCTGGACCACTATCTTATCTGTAATAAATTAGGTATTATTAGACTACTCGATTCTGACTGGGCAAGCGCGGCATTGAGCGCTCAAATGTGGTATTTTTATAAAAAAGGATATTTTACTGTTGCCCATGGCCAGAGCGGATCCTAGCATTTTGGGGGCCCTAAGCAGATTTTCAAAAGGGGCCCCCACTACCTATGGTTTCACCTAAGCACCACCTCCCATCCTCCAATACACATACTGACATCGTATTGTACATTTTTAGAAAATTGTCTTATTTATCTTTCATGATATAAATATGAAGATAAGCCTATATTTCATATTATATACAATTTTATTGTTAAATTTTAAATGTTTGACCATTACTTTCAGAGAAATATATAAACATTTAAGATTAATGCTTTGATAAAGCAAAAACACCTCCCAATGGGTCATGAAAATTAGTATTATTTAAATGATTATTATTCATTATTATTGCTCATAATAATCTCTTTTCTAGATTGGCTTGTTTTAGTCCAGCTTAAAATGCAAAAATATATATGTGCAAACATGTAAATACGGTTTTGACTTCCTCCTGTCAGAAAATGAGCTTGCATTTTTATTCAGCAGTCTGCGTTTTGTTCCCCCCAGATCAATGTGAAAATCAGACCGAATTTAGTTTAACTGGTCGCTAATATAAATATATACATAAGTTAATATATGTTCTAAAAATCTAAACAATTCGGATAATAAGGTATCTCGAATTATTCTGGTCTTTTGAATTGCCCACGATAACACCATGCACGACTCTGTTGTTTCACATCTTCAAAGCTCTCATGAAATGCCGAATTAAATTGACAAATCACAATGCAGCAGCCACCATTTCAACATCAGCTTTATAATATCCTTCACTTACCCTTATCTTGCAGCAGATTGAAAGTGCCGCGCCGTTTTGACACGAGTTGGAGGCGGAGGCCTTGCGTAATTTACAGGGGCCCTATGCAACTTGCGTAGTGAGCGCATAGGGCCGATCGGCTCTGCCCATGGCAACGTTGCTGCGCTATTTTCATGTTTCTCATATCACGCCGCATCGACGCAAGTTTGGAGAATCAAAAGTTTGGGACAAATGCTCAAACTCACAGTAATACAAATTGCCTCAGATGACAGTATTTATTTGAGAGTCGGCATGAAAATAAAATTCAGCTCATCTTTTTTTTTTTTTTTTTGACCTCATAATTTTTAATTGAAATGTCATAGCTGGATTCTCTAGTACAAACAGCAGACTTTGTAGTGATGTATGCAGGACTTCGCTAATCACTTTGTCTACTCAAACCATGCCTACTTTTGAGTGCAATAAAGGGTTGTGGCTAGAAGGGATACAGCTACAACCGGAAATGAGGCAAAATCTCGCTATTAATTTGAAATAAATTAAATTTGCTACCTATCACATGCTGTTTTATTGTATTTGTCTACACCTACCCATAACACTTTTTGACTTTCTCAGTTTATGTAAATCCACATGGGGCTCAGAATTATTATTATATTATTTGTTATTCACAGTAAATTCACTCTTGTCTAGTACAAATATGTCGCTTTGTTTCATAATTACAATGTATACGGTTTTCTTTATTTACCCTCAAAAAATGGAAGTGAAATTTGATAACATGCCCCAGTGGGGTACATTTAATGGTCGACCGATATATCGCCAAGGCCGATATATCGGCCGATATTTGGCATTTTTTCAAATATCGGCCAAATAAGTTTTCCTGTTTGGCCGATGCGTTCGAGGTGGGACTTTTATTTTGATGGCACGCCGGACATTTATTTATACGGCGCTGAGAACGGCAGCGCCTGAACACACAGTGCTCACATTCTCCCTCTTGTTCGCTGTTGTTGTTAACAGTTCTGTTTAAATACGGATATAAGTCTGTCTAATTATCAGATAGAATGGTTAAACAAAGGAATTAAAATGTATACAAAAACCTTATAACGATTGCTTTTATATTATTAGTAATATAAAGGCAAACATTATAACATTTATATCATTTAATAAACATCTATAAACATCTAATTTAAAAAACCTTGCAAACTTAGTCGGATCCAGTTGTGAGATCTTGTGAAGTGTGCATGTGATGTGCATGTGTTCATTGAGACGCGCGATGGACAAACTTTAAACTCGTGATTTTAAATTATGCTGCGCTTTATCCATTTGCCCAGTCATATTCATGTAATTTTCACTGTGTGCTGTATGTAAAATGAGTGTTACCTTGACTTTATTTGAAAAAATATGATTCCCAATGCACACAAACTTCCCAGAATACTGAGTGCTCTGTTGGTTACAGTATTTACTTCCTTTTAATTATATTTTTATTAAATATTTATTAATTTGTAAAAAATACTTTGTCATCTAAAGTATAAGTATGTTTATTTAACACATTTATTTTTTTAATAAATTTTCAAATTATTTAAAATTTCTTAAATATTAATTAAAATAAATAAAATTATATCGGCCATCGGCCACCCTGCATTCCAAGATATCGGCATCGGCTGTCAAAAAAACAATATCTTTTTTTTATATGAAATATTAAAGGAAAATGATTTTTTAATGAAAATGGCATTTTTTAAGAATTTAAAATAATCAGATTTTATAGTTTGACAATGAACACATTGCAACCATGCTTGGGACGACCCACATAAATGAGGGATTAAATTTTACTATGGTAAAATAAATGTTCAGCGATATCTTCAAGAATTTTGTATTTTGGCGCACTTTTTTTCTCTATATAATGTTGATATGGTAACTAGTAAATACTGTAAATATTGTTATGTTAGCATGTGTGGAAATATTTAAACCATGTGTTTTACAACTAACCCCTGCGTTACATTGAGCCCAGTGCTCCCCTAATTATTGTTGTTCAGTGTGACAAAAATTAGGCAATATTGATTTGTGCATGCCCAGTAAGCCCCGGTGGCCGTAGCTGTATCCCTTCTAGCCTTAACCGCAATAAAGGGGCAGTCACACTTTTAATTCTGTTGATTTCCATTCATATGCATGCAAATGTGAAGATGTTTTGCAAATTTGTATCATGCGAAGCTGTATGACCAATAGATCAATACGTCATTTGTAATGTGATAAAATTATGAAACTGCAGAGCGTGACGTCATATCATGATCATGCAGTGTTAGAAGAAATTTAGCTTTCTCAAAGTTTAGTGTGACCATGGCTTAATGCCCATATCTCAAAATCCAATCAAAAACCAAGAACACTCAGATGTACTTTGTAAAATGGAGGAAAAAATGTGTCCGTACTTCCATTTCATTGCGGCTTAAATACATTCTGTGCATAAAGCTTTTGATAAATGTTTAGTAGAAGTGGCTCAGGTGCCCCAAGAAAATAAAATGATAAAACTAGGACTATTTTTCTAAGCGGAAGCTTTAAAATTGAGATGAAACTGAAGAAGGAATAGATCTTTTCTTCCATATTGTGGCTTATATCTGAGTGTATTGTATAACAGATTATCAAAAAATAGAAAATGTTGGGGACTTAGTTCTATGCATCAGTTGTTGATTTGATTTTGAGAAATTTACAAGGTCAAAGTAATCGCGTACAATAAGATCTATAACATGCTTTCAAACTAAATAGCATGGATTTTCATTTCATGCCAATGAAATAAAAAAATTTTATTTGCGAGGTTATCATAAAATGCTCTAGGAATTGAGTATCTTCAAAACAGCAGCTTTCAACCTGGGACATAGAGGGTCTCAGCAAAGATTTCAAAAATCTGACTAACTTAACCACTTAAAATGCTTTAAAAGACTTTAAAATTAACGTGTAAACTGACATTAGATGTCTTGTTTATTTTCCCACAGAATAACTGGTGTTGTTGTGGTTTTTGCAGAACATACAGTTCTTGAAACTTCTGGAATAACATTAAATTATGCTTAATTATTTTAACCAATTGACACTCCTAGTTTCTGTTAATAAAAAAGTGGGAAAACAAACAGTATTGTCATCATTACAGCAGAAGTACTCAAAGAAATATTTTAGCCTACATAGGAGGTAGCTTTGTATATTCCTGGACAAACGTGGTCTTGGTGTTAAATAGATTGAGAACCACTGCTTCTTTAAAAGGCATTTTTTTGTTCACAGTTGCATCAGTAGCTTTCTGTTTTCTTTGATTGTGTTAGTTGATTTGATATTCTTCACTTCTTGTTTTGTTAGAGCAAGTATCAGGTTGTTGCACAGTTATCTCACATAGGCCTTGGCTTTCAAAAATAAGGCTGTTCTTTATGATAGGGCTGAAAAAATGCATATCTGAGGTCGTCTAAATTATTACATTAATAAAGTTTACAAATGGAAAGGTTTCATCAAACGATTTAGGTATTTAGCAATTTCTAGGATCTATCTGTCATCAAATGATTTAGGTATTTGGCATTGGCATTATTTTGTAAATTTTATTTAGATTTTTGCTATTTTATTTTATAGATTTTATATATCTTTAAAAATTTGATTAATTTATCGATCTTAGTTAGATTTTTTTATTTATTTTATTTTTATTTTATACATTTTATATATTTTTAATTTAGATTATTTAATTTGTAGATTTTATTTAGATTTTTAGATTAGATTTTATTTTGATTTTATAAACTTTATACATTAGGTTATGATTCATACGAATGTACAAAGGAAAGCAACAGGTCATTATTTCTCTTAAGTTTTTCCACTGTTTTTAAACTCCTCATTGGCGTAATCTTGCAATTATTATGAGCTCATAAATGCTGTAAGCACAGTAATTTTTTTTTATTAAAAGCAAATATATTTTTAAAACTATTTTTAGATGGAGTACAGCAGGACATGCCAACTTTCCAAAAGTGTTTTAGGTCAACTTCCCAAATATATTTTAGAGGAATGCTGAAACGGCATAATCTTTGTGTTTCTTCAAAGGTGTGTGTTTCTGTTTGTGTTGAATAATGAGGAAATAGTTGGAGTTATTGCATGTCTGTAGGCAAATTGATTTGCAGTGAAAGTGTTTATCTGATTTTCTTGTTTTCAGCCAGTCATCTTGCTCTTCTTCCTGTTTATCTTGTTGTGCCGTTATGTAAATATAAAAAATATGTTTGTCTACCTTTATCATTAACTGTTCAAAAAACTGCTTATAGCCTTGCATAGACAGACCGTTGACTTGTGGCATGAAGGATGTTTATTATTATTCTCTTTCTTTGTATCTTCAAAACAGCAGCTTTCAACCTGGGACATAGAGGGTCTCAGCAAAGATTTCAAAAATCTGACTAACTTAACCACTTAAAATGCTTTAAAAGACTTTAAAATTAACGTGTAAACTGACATTAGATGTCTTGTTTATTTTCCCACAGAATAACTGGTGTTGTTGTGGTTTTTGCAGAACATACAGTTCTTGAAACTTCTGGAATAACATTAAATTATGCTTAATTATTTTAACCAATTGACACTCCTAGTTTCTGTTAATAAAAAAGTGGGAAAACAAACAGTATTGTCATCATTACAGCAGAAGTACTCAAAGAAATATTTTAGCCTACATAGGAGGTAGCTTTGTATATTCCTGGACAAACGTGGTCTTGGTGTTAAATAGATTGAGAACCACTGCTTCTTTAAAAGGCATTTTTTTGTTCACAGTTGCATCAGTAGCTTTCTGTTTTCTTTGATTGTGTTAGTTGATTTGATATTCTTCACTTCTTGTTTTGTTAGAGCAAGTATCAGGTTGTTGCACAGTTATCTCACATAGGCCTTGGCTTTCAAAAATAAGGCTGTTCTTTATGATAGGGCTGAAAAAATGCATATCTGAGGTCGTCTAAATTATTACATTAATAAAGTTTACAAATGGAAAGGTTTCATCAAACGATTTAGGTATTTAGCAATTTCTAGGATCTATCTGTCATCAAATGATTTAGGTATTTGGCATTAAATATGGATTATTTATTTTGTAAATTTTATTTAGATTTTTGCTATTTTATTTTATAGATTTTATATATCTTTAAAAATTTGATTAATTTATCGATCTTAGTTAGATTTTTTTATTTATTTTATTTTTATTTTATACATTTTATATATTTTTAATTTAGATTATTTAGTTTGTAGATTTTATTTAGATTTTTAGATTAGATTTTATTTTGATTTTATAAACTTTATACATTAGGTTATGATTCATACGAATGTACAAAGGAAAGCAACAGGTCATTATTTCTCTTAAGTTTTTCCACTGTTTTTAAACTCCTCATTGCCGTAATCTTGCAATTATTATGAGCTCATAAATGCTGTAAGCACAGTAATTTTTTTTTATTAAAAGCAAATATATTTAAAAAAATATTTTTAGATGGAGTACAGCAGGACATGCCAACTTTCCAAAAGTGTTTTAGGTCAACTTCCCAAATATATTTTAGAGGAATGCTGAAACGGCATAATCTTTGTGTTTCTTCAAAGGTGTGTGTTTTTGTTTGTGTTGAATAATGAGGAAATAGTTGGAGTTATTGCATGTCTGTAGGCAAATTGATTTGCAGTGAAAGTGTTTATCTGATTTTCTTGTTTTCAGCCAGTCATCTTGCTCTTCTTCCTGTTTATCTTGTTGTGCCGTTATGTAAATATAAAAAATATGTTTGTCTACCTTTATCATTAACTGTCTTATAGCCTTGCATAGACAGACCTTTGACTTGTGGCATGAAGGATGTTTATTATTATTCTCTTTCTTTGTCTCACTTCAGCGGTTGCTAACTTCTGTACTTCTAGTGTAGATTGCACAAAGTGTATCGTGTGTGTGAGGGTTTGACTGGTCAAACAGCTCAGTGGTTCTGTGTGTGTGCATATTATTGCATTAGTATTGAGTGAGTAATGTGTTGTCAATGTATAATCAAATGCAAGAATGAACATGTTGTACTATGTGCATCTGTGCAGTATGAATTTACATCTTAGATCTTAATTATAATTAGGAGAGACTGCTGTTCATATTAGATGTAGATCACAATGCCACTAAATTAGCAAACTAAATATTTTTAATGGATGTAAATGTAGTTAATTACATTAAAAAGTTAGATGGGATACAACAGCCAAAGACATCTGTATGCATGTGTACATAGACCAACAACCGCTCTCTCAGACAGATTGACAGGCTTGATTGCAAAACACATTGCTATGGATTTCATAAGGAAATTATACAAACAATAAGATGCAGATTAATCACCCACTTCTTACCCCAAAAGTATTTGACCTCCCAAGGGTAATTTCAGAGGCCAGCGGTTCTCAGTCTGTGTGTTTTTTCAAGAGCATGACTTGTGAGGCTGTCTGTAATGTTGTTGGAATTTGCAGTCACTGAAATTACAGTAAATCCTGGAGGATAAACTCTTCTCATTCCTCTGTTTTGAGGAAAACTGTTTTCCCGGGAATGCTTTTGGCCTCAAGACGGCAAGCTTTTGATTACGCTCTTGAATGCTGCATGCATGTTTTGCATTAAACAATTATGTGAAAACAAGGTCTGATTATTTCAAATTATCGTCCAGGTTCAAACTTTGCCAGCTGTCACGATCTCTCTAAAGGCAATGCTCTTTTGGGATAAATAGCATTGATTACCAGATGTACGGAGGAATGTTTGTTTGTTTGATTTCTGGAAAACAGTTCTGGAAAACTTGTGTTTCTGGCCTTTGTGACAGGGCAGGGCTCCAGACTGCGACCAACCATTTTTTCTGCCAGTGCGACTAATTTTTGTGTGCGGTCGCTAGGGATGGGCGTATCGATCCGAAGTATCGATATATCGATACTGAAGCGAGTATCGAAAGTATCGATACTCAAACAAAAAATATCGATACTAAGGTGCATTTTATTTACCAGTGGTTTTGTTTATTTAACAACAATAACAATAATGTGTACAATATGCATTGAATTGGACAAATAACCTTTGTTAGCAAGTAATTGTGTAGGATAGAACTATTTTCCTGCTCATCTGAACACACGCAAATGTTGCAAGACAGAACCAATCCATCACAGAGAGCATTCACTCACTTCTGATAGTAAGTTAAATGGTTTTCATTACCCATTTTACTCTTAGTAATTTAATAATTTAATACATTTCATAATTTAAAAGTTTAGTGCAGAAGTATCGAATCAGTATCGATAACTGCCTTGAAAAATATCGGTATCGTATCGAAAACAAAATAAGGGGTATCGCCCAGCCCTAGCAGTCGCACTGGCGTGACCACCGCGTTGTCCAACTCATAAGCACTGCCATTTCTGTTACATTTGAGAACCATCAAACGGCAAACAAAACTAGGGTGCTTTCACACCTGACTCGTTGTTTCGGAACCTGGCGCGTTTCCCCCCTTAGCTCGGTTCGTTTGGGCAGACAGCAGAGGAGCACTTATTGGCTTATTAGTCATTCATTTCTACTTTTTTTCACTATATTTTGAAATTATAAAATCCCTATTATAAAATATCAAATCAGATTTTGTCAGATCTTTACACTTTTTTGTGTATGAAGTAAGAAAAGTCACAAAGTGCCTTGAAAAACAAACTTTTCTTCAATGCTACTAAATCACACATAATCACTGAAGTTGGTCAGTTCCATATACTAGAAGAATAATGGTACATATAATAAGAGTGGAATATATACATTTTCGATATAAAAATTAGATTTTGCACTTGTTACTGTTGTTAATAAAAGTACAATTTGTATGCATCTTAACTCAAGCTTAGTGCTTTACTGTCAAATCTGTATAAAAAATAAACAAGAAATGGACATGTAATATTATTAGTAACTGCACTTATTAATGCAAAACAATGATCTATATTTTAATACTCCTGCACACCACCCCCAGCGCTACCAAATCTGTTCCTGGCGCCACCATCTGTAGAACTTAGTGGCGCTGGTGCCACTGCTCTCAAATGTTAGTCTGGAGCCCTGCAGAGGGTTATTCAGTTTTTTTAAAAACATTTTATGTATATGAATATTTTATATATCTGTTTACTGAATGTCAGTAAAGCAAAGTATGTGCACATGGATGTACACGTTTTTTTCACACTCGTGTGGAATAAGTCAATGCCAAAAAGGCTGTATCTATTTATTTTAACCACAGATACAGACTGACAAATAATAGTAAAGAGGCATAGTGTCAATTTGAATTGTAATTTGCATTGAGTTCATCTTAATAGTTTCTCACCTTTTCTCTCATAGGAGGAGGAGGGAAACGAAACGGGAGGAGCAAGAAATGGAAGGAGATGCTCAAACTGCCTCATATCAGCCTCTGTGAGGAACTTAGACGCACTGTTGGTAAGATAGATGTATGAAAGAGAGCATTCAGAAAATCTGCATTCAGACTCGCAAAAACATGGTGCTTCAAGCTTGAATTGCTTTAATGGTTGGAAAGTCCCTCCAAACAGAATTTAGATACGGGTCAAGGGGCATGATTAATTGTGTTCATTTTTTATCGCTTTTCATGTTTGTTTGTTTTTTATAATTAATTGCACTAAACTGATAGTCCAAGTTTCAAGGTATTAAAAATACCAGTTTGTTTGTATTTGTATTACAGACAAACAGTCCTAGTCGTGCAGGACTGGATACCTTCCAACCACAGTGGGTTTTTTAGTGGCTTAAATGAAAGTTTGCAAGTAATATCCTCTCTCATTAGTGTGATTTGATGTTATTTAAGAGTTGTCCATCTATATATATATATATGTATGTATGTATGTGTATATATATATATATATATATAAATGATTGTTTACCTTACTCTTTATTAATCAGATTTATAATATTAGCCATTATTAGCAATTAAAGCAGTCTCGTGTTATGGGCCAAATTTTTTTTTAATTAAATTTTTTCCATTAAATTAAGGCTTAAATAATTATGTGCAGATACCATTGTACCATATTTTTCACCCATAATAAATGAATTTCACAAAAAAAAAATTTTTTTACTTAAAGGAGTTTAAAAGGAGTACATTTAAAAAAATTATTTTAATTTGGTTCCTTAAAAGGGTTGGTTTATTTTGTGGTTCACTAAACAAAGCATACTTGCTAGTGTATTTCTCATTAAAGGCTTTATATTGTTTAGAATGTTGCTGTCAGTTAAAAATGTATTCTGGTGTGTGGGCAGGTGTGTGTGTGTTTGCGTCAGACAGCTGTAGACCTTGGCTCAGTGAGGAAGTCCCGGCTGAGGCCGCTTCCTCTTGGCCCAGAATCCACCAGGCCCGTAGGGTTCCAGAGAGTCCTGCAGCACAGGGCTTAGCTTGAGCTCTGCTCACCATCACTGTGATTTGGTGTCGTGGCTGTATGCTGAGTTTTGCACTTTGTGTGTGTATAGAGGAAATCTTTTATTAAAGGGGTCATATCATACATTTCATGCATTTTATTTTTCCCCTAAAGTCCATAAAAATGTTAGTCGGGGGCTTTGCACCTCAAACAGTTAGTGTATTTCTCATTAAAGGCTTTATATTGTTTAGAATGTTGCTGTCAGTTAAAAATTTATTCTGGTGTGTGGGCAGGTGTGTGTGTGTTTGCGTCAGGCAGCTGTAGACCTTGGCTCAGTGAGGAAGTCCCGGCTGAGGCCGTTTCCTCTTGGCCCAGAATCCACCAGGCCCGTAGGGTTCCAGAGAGTCCTGCAGCACAGGGCTTAGCTTGAGCTCTGCTCACCATCACTGTGATTTGGTGTCGTGGCTGTATGCTGAGTTTTGCACTTTGTGTGTGTATGGAGGAAATCTTTTATTAAAGGGGTCATATCATACATTTCATGCATTTAATTTTTCCCCTAAAGTCCATAAAAATGTTTGCACCTCAAACAGTCTGGTTAGGTTTTTCACCTGATTTTCCACCCTCTCTGGTACATTCCATGAATATGGTACAATTTTGTGTCAGGTGACTTTATTTCTAAATACAGGCACAAATTTCATGTTTTGCTTTGAGACCTATTAGATATGTTGAGAAATTATTATCTAACGTCGCATTAAAAGTATCTAATATTAAACAGATAATGGTATACCTTTTTAAAATATTTGAACCCTTTCCAACAATGACTGTATGATTTTGAGATCCATCTTTTCACACTGAGGACAACTGAGGGACTATGTGCAACTATTACAGAAGGTTCAAATGCTCAGTGATGCTCCAGAAGGAAACACGATGCATTAAGAGCCAGGATTTGAAGATCAGGGTAAATCGAACTTATTTTGTCTTCTGGGAAACATGCAAGTATCTTCTGTTGCTTCTTAAGGGCAGTACTAAATGAAACAATATGATGTTTAGGCAAAATAAGAAAAACGTACACATCTTCACACCCCTGGCTCTTAATGCTTAGTTTTTCCTTCTGGAGCATCAGTGACCATTTGAGCCTTTTTTAATAGTGCATTTTGCAAATGCAAATAACATGCATTTCGTATGATCCCTCGTATTTGGTAAAATAATTAACATTTTGCAGATACTGCAAAGTATTTAAAATTTTTACCAGAACTATATATATTATATCAACATTTTTAAATCAATAGTTTTATATTTCTCATTCACATTGCTCTTTTGTTAAAGCTGTAATGTCTTGTACCTTTGTCTTTTCTTCTGATTCTCACAAATGTTTTTGCTTCAAATCAAATTTGTAATGTTGTGATTCACTTTGTAGCTGGTTGGTTTGGTTCATGGCTTATAACTTTAATAATTTTATTCCCCGATGGGGAAAATGAATGGGAAAATACCGGAACCAAGACTGCTGAAAAAGTATTTCAACTCTTCAACTAATTTTTAACTTCAATAAATCGCCTTATTGCATTTGATTTGTGAAAGTTTCAGTGCATTTTCATATTACAATGAACTCTTTTATTTCAAAAGGTCCATTTAATATTTAATAATATGACCCTTTAAAGATAATAGATGAGGAAAACCATCATATGACATTGATAGGTTTAACCCTCTTTCTGTCTCTCTCTTGTTTATCACTCTCAGAGAGGGATTACACTAGCCTTTGTGAGAAGCAACCAATTGGTCGTCAGTTGTTTCGGCGGTTCTGTGACACGCAGCCCAAATTACGGCGGTGCATAGAGTTCCAGGATGCTGTGGTATGAAACCTCTGCACAAACATACATATAGTCTGCACCTCTCTTTAACTTCTCTTTTTCTTTTTCTCCCAGACTGACAGACACACAACCATCTCCATGTCAAAAATGGAATTGTTCTCTTACCTTCACTCTAATGGAATACACATTTTGTGCACCCTTAATAACACTCTTAAAAATAAAGGTTACAAAAGGGTTCCCCAAAGACCCTTTTAGTGAACAGTTCTTAAAAGAAACACTTTTTTTCTTAGTGAAGAACATTTTAATAATCTCAAGAATACAGGACTTTTTGTGCAACCAAAAGGTTATATGAATGTTAAAGGTTCTTTACTAACCTTTAGAACCTTTACTAAATTCTGTGATTTCATCTCTAATTTCAGCATTATTTGTGTGTGTGTGGTTGTTTAGGCAATGTATCAGGTGGCTCCGGATGAGAAGAGGAGAGACGTCGGTTTAAATATTTTAGACACATATTTTAATAATGGGGTAAATATATTGTTCTCGCACACTTCTACATGCATGTGCACATTGAAAGAATTGCTGAATTAATGATTGAACTTGAACTTCTCTCTCTCTTTTTTTTAAATTGCACCCTATCAACCGCTCTTCCTGTTTTCTCTCCCTCTTTCCCATACTGTAGTCGGCAGCTCATCTACCAGAGATCGCTCAGGATGTGGTTGGGGATTGCAGGCAGAAACTAGAACATAGTCCCTGTAAAGAGCTGTTCCAGGAGTGTACCAGGTAATACCAATGCTATTTTGTATCAAGCCAGTTCATTTGCCAGCCATCTACTGTAAGTAACAGCTACTTTGCTGTCAAGCAACATCTATGCAGTCTCTCCTTCCACTTTTTGTGGAAAAAATAATCTTTAAGACACCAAGTTTGATTTAATATTATACTACCGATCGATAATTTGGGGTTCGGGTTCTGAAAGAAGTCTCATACTCACCAACTCTACCAAGGCTGCATTTATTTGATCTAAAATACAGTAAAACGGTAATATTGTTAAATATTTTTTATAATTGAAACTAACTTTTTTTTAAATATATATTTTAAAAAGTTATTTTCAATTTACAGCATCATTACTCCAGTCTTCGGTGTCACATTATCCTTTAAAAACATTCTAATATGTTGATTTGGTGCTTAAGAGAGCTTTCTTATTATTGTCAATGTTGAAAACAGTTGTGCTGCTTCATATTTTTGTGAAAACCATGACACCTTTTTTTCAGGATTCTTTGATGAATAGAAAGTTCAAAAGAACAGCATTTCTTTGAAACAGAAATATTTTGTAACATTATCAATGTCTTTACTGTCACTTTTCAATTTAACGCATCCTTGTTTAAAAAGTATTATCAACTCCAAAAGGGCAAGTGGTGGCGTATATTCCAAATCAGCAATTTATTTTGCTCAAATCAGGCACAATGGTGCTTTCATTGATTTTTTTTTTTTGTGGTCATTTTGGTCCTTGAGATCTCCAGTTCACATGCACATTAATTGTATTCCGAAGACTGTCCACATTATTTTTTAAATCAAATTACCATCATGAGAGTAATTAAATATTGCCAGACCTTTAATTTTTTGGTTGAACTATTCCTTTAAAGGAGTCATATGATGCGATTTCAAGTTTTTCTTTCTCTTTGGAGTGTTACAAGCTGATTGTGCATAGATAAGATCCCTGATCCCTGAAGTTGCAAAGACTAAAGTCTCAAAACTGTTCAAACTGTATTGACTGTTCAAATGCGGAGTTTTGCGCGTCGTGTGTGTGTGTGTGTGTGAGAGAGAGAGAGAGAGGGAGAGAGACAGCGTCACATCACATCACAGTAGAGTCAGCTGTCTTAAACGCGGCTTGTATACTGCATCATTACGGTGTCTGTTCCCCTTTCGGGCTTGAACTGATGGTAAAACTAATGACATTATTTACTGTCTTTACATTTATTTTGAAAGATGAAGCTTGCGATTATGGTAAGGGGCGTTACATTTCCGACGAGTGCTTGTGATGGTCGGCCAATCACAATGCACTGGGTCAGCTGGCCAATCAGAGGAGATTGCGCTTGTCGGAAGGAGGGACTTTGTAGAAAACGAAGCGTTTGAGAGAGGCGGGGCATATATGACCTACAATAATGTACAGTATTTGAAAAATAATGTGTTTTTTGAACATTAAAGCATGTCAACATATTCTGTTACACCAAATACACAAAATAATGATCTTTAAAAAAGCATCATATGACCCCTTTAAGATAATGCAGTAGGCTTGCCCATGTGTTACACACGCTTGTTATTTAGTTTATGTTTGGAATGTCAAGACTGAAGTGGAATCAGTGGGATCTCAGTTTGTGTTTTTTACTTGTATTAGTGTGAAGACTTACAGTTATAGAATGAACCGTTAGCTGTAGTCATACTGTTTGTCCGAGTAAAGTAAACACGTGACTTTGAATCTAAACAGTGTTTTGTGTGTTTGTGTTTTGCCTCAGTCAGTCTTTTAGTTCTGTTTAGTTTAGGCTTCCTTTCTGTTTGAGAGGGGGTGAGGTGGAGTGCTTTAACCCTTCCTGTTAAATCTCTATGGGCACTATGTTTGTTAAAGTGTATGTTTATGTATTTGAGTGTGATAGCACGTGTTACATTAGAGGGTAAGATGGCATCAGTTGCATGAGACTCATCTGCAATCACATTTGTGCACGTCATCATTCAAGTTTTGAAGAGTTGCAACCAACAAGTAGAGATGCTACAAACCTAATTACATTTTTCATGGCATACAAGCAGCACCTTTTTTTTTTTCTTCTTTTTTTTTTTTTTAAACGTCAAGGTACAAGTTGTTTTGTTTGGACTGTTTATTTTCTACAAGTTTTAGAAGTTCTTGCATGATATTCCCTCTTTTTTTTAAACAAAATATTTCATTTATTTCTGTTTGGAATTCATTTATATCAATTCAAATGTTTTTATTTATTTATGATGAGTAGCTTGTCTGTAATTGAACTCCTTGAATAACAATAATAAATAGCTTGTAGCAAACCATGTATTATGGCAGTGCTATGGGACAATGATGGTAACAGAGCCTATTTGGTATTTTGATATATACTGTATAATTATCATATTCATGCACCATGGCATTTGTATGGTCTCTACACCTGCCTCAAGCATTCCTTCTCTTTTTTTTCAGGATAGTTCGTGAATATTTAAGTGGAGAGCCATTCTCAGCATATCAGGAGGCGATGTACTTTTCCCGTTTTCTTCAGTGGAAGTGGTTGGAGAGGTCAGTAGCATCTCTTATCAGCCTTTCTGATTTTATGATGAATTTCACTTTTATGATGGATTATATACTGTTTCTAAGTTTTAACATGACCTACATACAACGAATGTTAGTGGTAATAAAATCACCTCTTTTGCAATGGCAATAGTAAAAAAAAAAAAAAAAACGCCATTATAGTGCATTAAGTTCTATTTCTGAAATGATTGAGTTTTGTGCATTGAATTGACTTGAACTGTATTTTATTTGCAGGCAACCAGTTACCAAAAACACGTTTAGACACTACAGGGTATTGGGCAAGGGCGGATTTGGTGAGGTGGGTAATTTCATTACTGTTAGATCAGTATTTGAGGACATGACATATTGGAATATATAGTGAAAACCATGTTGTATATTTCAAAATCATCTATTCTAAACAAGTATGTTATTTTGTAATGATTGTGAGTGCAGTTTTTATGACCTTTTTAATTGTCACACAGCAGGACTATTTAAAGGTGCACAGTTATTTTTTGCTAGTTGAAAAAGTGTTACACATAGAAATGAATAATACTTTAGAGAAATAACATAAATAATTAGGTGCACTAATTGCTGCCTGATTCTTTCCACTAGGTTTGTGCCTGCCAGGTTCGTGCCACTGGTAAGATGTACGCCTGTAAAAAGCTGGAGAAGAAACGGGTGAAGAAAAGAAAAGGTGAAGCAATGGCATTAAATGAAAAACGCATTTTAGAAAAAGTTAACAGTAGTTTTGTAGTAAGTACTACTTTCTTTTTATTCCTCATTTTTACTTTTATCTTAACCTGTCGTGTCAGTTGCATGCTGGTCTTGTCTGTATTATATGTGCAACAAACATTTTACTCCACTCTCTGCGATTCAGTTTCTGTGAGGTTCTCAACAGAGGGAAACTATTCCAAATATTTCAGGCAAATATGAATGTACATATCATGGGATAAATCTCGTCTGGAGTAGTAGTTCATAACGAATTGCTATGAATTGAATCATTTTCAGTACCTCCTGACTAGCTAAATCATAGAGAGATGCAGCTATTTGGCTGTGATCCCAAATATCAACCATAAAAATTAATTTAATATTTGCTGTGTAAAAAAAAGAATTTAAGCTATTTACATTGTAAACAAATATTCAAACAAAGCATATATCACCAAGCAGTCATATTACAACCTTGAAATGGTCACAGCATACTTTATAGTGGAAACACATTCCTGATTTGTTCATATGCTCCTCTCATTATTTTCACTAGTACCACTTTTAAGGAATGTTCTATTCCAAGTTTGTTTATGTGCCGCTTTGTGATGTTTCAAACAAAAATAGAGGAATCAAGGGATACTATTCCATTGTATGGTTTTCAACTGGGTTATTGGAGTATTTTTCCCATTCACTTTCTCCATGTAAAAACTTCTTGAAGAAAGTGGCCGAAGCTTGGAACCAAACCAGTCAGAAAAATGTGATTTTTTTTTCAGTGTGATTTCTGTTTTTATTGTACGAGTTTGTATTATTTATTTTCATCCATGGAACTCTTTACACTTCAGTATTGTTTATATACTATTAAAGGTGTTTTTTTCAGTATTTTGAATTGGCGTTTAATTTTTAGATTTTCAGTTTCCACTTTAATTTTAGTTTTAGTAACGTTACGTTTAAGTTTTAGCATCTGTATGTGCTTTTGTAATTTTTACTACTTTTTAAAATATTTCTATTTAGCTTTATTTTTGTTTAAGTTTTAGATTGAATAATTTTCCACAAGAATATTTATATTTTATTTTACAGTATGTCAGGTTTATTTCAATTACCGAAAATGCTTTAAATAGTTTTAGTTTGAGTTTAGTTAACACTAACAACACTGCCATAGAAAACACAGGAATATGTTCTTTCTAAAAATAACTCTTAAAATTAAATTAATTAAATTAATAAAAATGCACCAAAATAGTAATCCATCCAGCTTGTGTTCTCATGTACATTCAGATATGGCACCTCAAGACATGTTGCAGCAGCTTTGATGTCAGAAATCAATTTGTTCTCGTCATTAGACTTAAATGTATGTAAACAAAGATTTACAATGACTAATTATTCACATTTTGGTCTGTTCTTTACACAAAGATATTGCATGGCCTCAGAGGTCTAATAAAATAGTGTACAAGTCATATGGACCACTTTTATGATGCGTTTTGGGTCATTATTGGAGCTTGACAGCCTCAGATCCCATTTACCTTTACTGAATGGAGAAAGTTTCCACACATGGGGAAAAAAAAAAAAAACTTTAGCATGACACAAAGTAAATAATTTTATTTTTTGGCTGAACTATTCCTTTAAATAATTTGATGCCGTGGTACTTTTTCTTTTGGAATTCTAAACATTCTAAACCAAAAACTTGTTTTTGTTAAGGATAAAAGCCGTAGCATTTGATCAAAAGCACAGTAAAATGATAAGAATTTAAAATCTTTTTTTTATATATATATATATTTTAAAATCTAATTTATTCCTGCAGTGGCAAAGCTAAATTTTTAGCAGCCATTACATTATCTGTTGGAATTTGGTAACACAGTAAACATTCTAGAACCTCTAAAACAATGGATTTTAAAAGAGAACGTGTACAGACATAGCACACAGTGCCTGCAGTGTAATGTCGGCCTCTGATTCATTCCACTACAGCTGTAGAGCACCTGAGCCTCTGTCCACCCACCCACACACTAACACACAAGCTCACACAGACACACACGACCACATACACACACAGGTTAGCTGTGCTTAGCATTGCAGCTGTGTGCAAATGTCTTTTAGGCATGTAACATGCATCTAAATTTAAAAGAAAGACAATGTGTGTGTGTGTGTGTCTGTGTGCAAGAGCATGCATGTGTGTGTGTGTGTCTCTGTGCACATTCATGCTACAGGCAGGAGCAATTTCTCCTCATGAACTACTTCACAAATGAGAACATCTCTGTTTCCTAGCAACGCTGACCAAACAGCAGCGTTAGAGAGCAGAGTCAAGTGCTCTAAACCCTAAACCCACACACACACACACACACATGCGCGCACACTCACACTCCAGCCTCAGAGTTCATTCAGTATGTATAAACAGACTCATGTTTAAAAGTTGGGGATGACAAGTAAACTCTAACAGTATAAAGTGACATAATGCTGTGACTAATATGAGCTATGTTTGATGGGAAACAGCTTGTGCTCTCTTCAATGTTTCTCTGACTTTGTCTTCACCTTACTGTTAATTTGTAAACTAACTAAATAGATAACTGATTATCTGTATGAATGTGTGTGTGTGTCTATGTATGTATGTATATATGTGTATATATATATATATATATATATATATATAATGAAGAGTTTATTTGCAAAACGGATAACTCCATTTTTATCTATTTTCATAAATCATGTTTTTTATTGTTACCATGTTTTTGTGTTTTATTGTGTTAGTTAGCTGTATTTTTAGTTATTATTATTTAATCAAAACAACCAAACTGCAGTTTGATTGATATTAATTAGAATGCAGGATAAAAAAAAAAACGTTTTTTGCTATCGGTTTTTGCAAATTAACTCTTCATATGTCTTGATATAGTTACTTTTGATTGCTCTTGACTTAAATGTTGTTTGAGGTTGGTAAAAAAAAAAAAAGCATATTTTAGGCTGTTTTGTTTTGCTTTTTTTCCATGATAAAATACAGTAAAAAAGCTTTCTAAAATAGTAAGTACAATTTAATGTGATCAATTTAATGCATCCTTTCTGAATAAAATTTCATAATGATTGTCTTTATATATATATATATATATATATACACACACACACAGTATATCTTTATTCAATAGAATTAGCATCTATAGTATAATACACTCCAGAGTCATTTATTAGTTTCAAATTTTTAAATCACCACTGCTGACATAATAAATGACCCGACTGCTTTAGTTTGTAAGCACTCATATTAGCTTCCATTGGCGTTATGTTTCACATAATAATGTGAAGGGTCCTTTTATAGTCCTCGTGGTCTTGTGGCGCTGCAGGTTCCCACAGTAACATCAGCTTCTTGTTCGAGTTCACCGCCCTTTCCCACATCTGTCTACTTCTGAAACCTAACCACCCACAATGTTGGGTGTAACCGCTGAAGGGTAAGAACCCCTCCTTAACACAGCGGTTTTCAGCTTCTGCAGTGGTTCTCTTCACGCGTCACTCAGCAGATCACAGGACATGCTGGTGGAAAATGATAATACACTGCATACTGTATGATGTAGCTTTTGTGGTTTGCTAAAAGTCACACATCACCCATCATTACCACAACTTCATGTTTCAGAACACTTAATACTAGCTATGAAACTTAGTTAGTCCTTCACTGTTCTATAGAAATGAATGATTGTTGAGTAGAGATGTGTGGTTACTCTATTAGTCTCCATACTAGTACTCTATTAGTCTCCATACTAGTAAAACAAAACTCTAAATAAATACAGTAGTGGAGATGCTGTAATGGCTAATCATATACAGTACATTTCCTGTGTGTCCATTTTGGATCAAGTTTAGTCTGTTTCTCCAGGCATAACCCTGTGAAGTTTTGAAATGTGTTTCTGTATATTACAGGTGCCAGTCATCTGAAAAAACATTCTCATGAGCTACATTTGACTGTTTGACATGCACCACTAAGGTTCATGTATCCTTTCTTCATGAATAGATAACAATGCACCTCTTTTTCTCTCTTTTTCCTTCCTAGGTTAGTTTGGCATATGCATATGAGACTAAGGACGCTCTATGTTTGGTGTTGACTATAATGAACGGTGGTGACCTGAAGTTTCATATCTATAACATGGGGAACTCCGGCTTTGATGAACAGCGTGCCATCTTTTATGCAGCAGAGATCTGCTGTGGCTTCGAGGACCTTCATCGAGAGAGGATCATCTACAGGTGTGTTTATTAATCTCAACACACTCACATTTTACAATGTTTATATGCATTTAGCAGAAATCTGCTAATTTTCCAGGATGTGAGTGATAAAAGCAAGGTTTACAAATTCTGTCTAGTATATTAACTCAGGACATTTTTCTTTGTGTTTTGCATGAAAGTTTTTTTTTTTGAAGATACTGGGCAGTGGAAGGCATAGCAATGTTTGGCTGCGTGATTTGAATATATTAAAATTAAGTATATTTTTGAATGTAAGGCTTTGTTTTCCATCTATATTGGCAGGCATCGTATTGTATGCAAAATGAATGTAAACAAATGTAGATTTTTTTGCATTTTGTCTACGCCTGTAATTCAAAACAGGCAGATTCAGGAAACGTATGGAATTACCTGGTCACAGCAGTGCTAGTAATAGAGCAGGATTATTATATCATCTTCTGTCAAATTACTTGATCAACAGTATCCAGATTTGCACCATGTGTTTCAATACTGTTCAAAAGTTTGGGATTTTTATTTTTTTAAAGAAATGAACACTTAGTCAGAAACATTAAATTGATCAAAAAGACATTCATGATGTTACAAAAGATTTCTGTTTCAAGCAAATGCTGTTGTTTTGAACTTTATATTTATCAAAGTATCATGTATCATGATAAATATTATGCAACAAAAACGTATGATTTCTGAAGGATCGTGTGACACTGAAGACTGGAGTGATGATGCTGAAAATTCAGCTTTACAATCACTGGAATAAATTACATTTTAATATATATATTAAACTAGAAAACAGTTTTGTAACTGTAATATTTAAGAATATTCTGTTTTCCTGTGTTTTTGATCAAATAAATTCTTCTGGTGACCGGAAGACTTGGTAACACTTTATTTTAAGGTGTCCTTGTTACACGTTACATGTACTTACTATTATAATAACAATAAATGATGCAAAATCACATGCAAGTAAACCTAAGCCAAACCCTAACCATATAGTAAGTACATGTAGTTAATTAATATTACTGAGTACTTAAATATATAATTGCACTGTAACAAGGACACCTTAAAATAAAGTGTAACCGAAGACTTCTCTAAAAAAAAAATAATAATAAAAAGTTAAAAATGTTTTTACTAAAGTTATTAGATTTCAGCTGTGTAAAATGAATGTATTCCCTGTTTTTGCAGAGACTTGAAGCCTGAGAATATTCTCCTTGATGACCGTGGTAAGCCGTTTTTATTCACTACCGCGTTTTATGGCCTGTTTTTGCTTCTGTTTACCTTATTTACGCATAAGTCCACACTTGGGGGTGGACTCTTGCCTTTTGCTAGTAGGGAACAACAAAGCAACTACTTAGCAACCACATAGCAAATCCTTGGCGTTCACCCAGAACTCCCTTGCATTGTGACAGCGAGTTTTGCACAAGCAAAATAAAATGTAATCACCTTATTCAGATCATTAACCTCTAAGGGGAACATTCTTTTTACCTGTGCCATTTTTAAGTATGTCATGTTTGGGCATGTTAGGAATGATAATACTACAAGTTTGAATGAGATGCTGTTCTCCAGGGCACATCCGTATTTCTGATCTGGGACTGGCCGTCCAAATTCCAGAGAGTGAGACGATACGAGGGCGCGTTGGCACGGTGGGATACATGGGTAAGAGCCAAACGCATTCCGTATCTGTTAAGCAGTACTTGTCCTGGAGTGTTTGACCTCATGCTTCTCTCTGTGTTTTTAGCACCGGAGGTCATTCAGAATGAGAGCTACACCTTCAGTCCCGACTGGTGGGGTTTGGGCTGCCTGATATACGAAATGATTCAGGGTCAGTCTCCTTTCCGTCGCCGCAAAGAGCGTGTGAAGCGAGAGGAGGTGGACCGCCGTGTATGCGAGGACCAGGAGGAATACACTGAGAAGTTCTCTGAAGATGCTAAAGACATCTGCCGACAGGTGCAGACCTAATGCTTTTTTTTGTGCTGTTGTGACCTTAAAATAATGTCAGAATGGTCATATTTATGAGTTGAGATCACGTGAACAATGCCACAGTGTCATCTTAACCAGTGGGGAAACTCTTCTACTTTTCAAGTTGGGGGCGTCAAATAAAGAATTATAGCGAATTAAATTGGTATCGGGGTCAGTGACATAATGCTAATTTTCTTTTTTCAAATCTTAATGTATTCATTTATTCAAAGATACATAAAAATGTAATTCATAAATGCAGTGCATCTTGTTTTAATTTCTATAATAAAATTAACTTATTTTTGGCAGGCATTCGTTTGTTTTATTATTATATTATTATTATTTATCATGAAAAAATTAAGTAGTTATGTTAAAATATATTACTACTATTTGAGAAACCTATGATTAGTAAATCAAAGTAATGTGGAAATAAGCAACATTTATTTGTAAATAAAATTAGCTTTAACCTTGACAATTATATTTAAGAACTTTTTTAAAGTAATGACTAGAATGTGTACATTCACATGTATTTAGAGGTGCAAGGAAAATTATATTTCCTTAATGGTACACCACATCACTGTTATTGTAGTATTATATAATACTATAATATTTATTAATATTTTAAGTAATTGTAAAGCTTATATATACAGTGGGTACGGAAAGTATTCAGACCCCCTTAAATTTTTCACTCTTTGTTATTATATATATATATATATATATATAATATATATATTTGAGTTTTCATTTGAGTTTTGTTTTATAAATTCAAAAAAATTCTATTTAGCTTTAATTTATTTTTTCATTTCAGTTTGTCATTTTATTACTTTAAGTTAAACTTATTTTAATTCAGTTATTTGCCAAAGCAGCTTTTTTCCATCTATTATTTGTTTTATTTCAGCTTTATTTCAGTGAACAAAAACAATTTAAATAGTCTTAGTTTTACAGTAGTTAATGAAAACAATACTTTTTAGAGTCATTAATTTTAAACTTTTTTTTTTAAAGTTCTATGTGTTTTTTTTTTTTTAAGCAGCAGCAAGTTGTAAATGTCTAAAAACTTGTCATGTGTTTAAACTAGATTTGATTTTTTGTCCTTTTCTTTATCATAGACACTCAGAATTAAGTAGAAATGTTGAATGTTGGCTGTAATATGTAATATTTTCTACATGGGGAAAAAGTTCATGCGTAGTTGTGGAGGAGTGCGTGTTGTTTAGTCCTCTCTCATGGTGTCATGGAAGACTGTGACCTCAGGGTCACGTTTACTTCCACTGGGATTTCTCCTCTTCTGTGTCAGCCTCACTTCTTTCCCTCTCTTTTCCTGGGCTCCACAGTTGTTATGTAAAGATCCAAAGGAGCGTTTGGGGTGTCGAGGTTGTGGAGCGGCTGAAGTCAAACCGCATCCTATTTTCCGAAACATCAACTTCAAGCGATTGGAGGCCAACATGCTAGACCCGCCGTTCTGTCCTGATGTGAGTTTCATGGGCATTTATTCATTTTTATCTGCTTGATTAAAAAGACTCCTATTGGACTAAGCATGTAGGATTTTCCAAGTGGATGTTGGTCATATGCAATGTTTTTGTCTTTTTAGCCACGTGCTGTGTATTGCAAGGATGTTCTGGACATAGAGCAGTTTTCTACAGTCAAAGGTGTAAACCTGGACCCTACAGACGATGACTTCTACCACAAGTTTGTAACAGGAAGTGTCTCCATCCCATGGCAAAATGAGGTACTACACTCTGGTCACTAGGGGATAATAATGTTCATACTACTACCCTTTGGGTTGGCAACATTTGTTAATATTTTTAAAAGAAGTCTTTTGCTCAGCAAGACTGCATTTAGTTAATCAAATATACAGTAAATGCAGTAATATTATGAAATATTTTGGCAATTTAAAACAACTGTTTTCCACATCAATATATTTTAAAATGTAATTTATTCCTGTGATGCAAAGCAGAATTTTCAGCATCATTACTCCCGTCTTAAGTGTCACATGATCCTTCAGAAATCACTCTAATATGCTGATTTGCTGCTCAAGAATTTTTTTTTAATATTATCAGTATTGTAAACATGTGCTCTGATTAATTATTTGGAGGGAACTGTGATCCTTTTTTCTTTTTCCGATAAATAGAAAGTACAAAAGAACAGCATTTATTTAAAATAAAAATCTTTTGTAAAATTAGAAATACAATCGTTACTGTCACTTTAGATCTGTTTCATTTGATAGCTCTGAGCTCTTATGTCAGTATGTCAACTTTTAAGGACTTTTAGGAGAAACATCTGAGTTAAATGAGAGACCACTCCAATAAATCAATAAAAGAGTAACTTCTTTTTTTTTCTTTTTTTTTTAAATTATATTTTTATCAGAACAAGGTACATTGAAAGGATTCAGTGACAAAGGCACTTTCAAAGGCATTCATTTTCACTTTTTCTACCCACAACATAAAACAATCCCATGTTTTGTAAAACGTTCTGGTTGATCCTCTTAGAAAATATTTTATTTTTTCTGTTTTTAGAAAAAACATTACATCACTAAGCCATAGTGACAATTTAGGTGGTATTGGTGATTTCCACTCTAAAAGAATTCTTCTTCTAGCTATTAATGTTGCAAATGCCGTGGCATTTTCTTTATCTTAGGTTATGTGAATGTCGTCACCTGTAACTCCAAACAGAGCCATTATTGGGTTAGGCTGCATTCTTAAATTAAATGCCGAGTTTAAAATTTCAAATATTGAAGACCAAAATTGTCTCAGTTTAGTGCATGACCAGAACATATGGGTTAGATCTGCCTTAAATGCACTGCAACAATCACATGTTTCATCTATATTTGGGTATAGTTTAGCCAGTTTGGTTTTACTATAGTGAATACGGTAGAGAACTTTCATCTGAATCAGATTGAGTCGTGCACAAGATCTGTCCTATTTATTCTGTCAACAGCGTTGTCCCAAGTGTCTTTGGATATGTCAATTCCCAACTCTCCTATCCATTCTGTTTTGATCTTCTCTAGTGATCTATTTTGGAATGTCATAATTACGTTATATATTTTGGAAATCAGGCCCTTGAGGTGTGTAGGGGTCTTAAGAACCAAGTCCAATCCTGATTCAGAGGACATTTGAGGAAACACAGAGCAATGGGCCTGCATAAAGTGTCGAACCTGGAGATAGCGAAAAAAAAATCAGATTTTTTAAGATTAAATTTTTGAATCAGGTCATTGTAATTAGCAAAAATATTATCAATGAAAAAGTCTTTACATATTATTATTACATATGGGGGTTATAAAAGAGTAACTTCTTTTGACAAAATTTTTTCTCTAGACATGATAGATTAAATTATTGATCAGTCTAAATGGTAATGTAGTCGTGATGTGAAATAGAGATGGATTGTGTTCTGTACAGTTGTGTATTGTGTGTGTGTTTGTATTTCAGATGATTGAGATGGAGTGCTTTAAAGAGATTAATGTGTTCGAGATGGATGGAGCACTGAGTTCTGATCTGGATGTGAACAGGCCAAATCCAGCGCCCAAGCGAGGATTCTTCTACCGTTTATTCCACCGAGAGGCAAGTGCTAGCGTGCCGCCCGCCGCGGTCAGAGGGGGTGGGGCTTGAGGTATTTTCTGGCTCTTTCCAAACAGACCTTCCTACCTTCATCTTTTGATTTTATTACCAATACATCTTTGTTTACCTTTTATGAAATCTGCATGGCCAAACTCAGGCATAATTCTTATATGAAATGTAAACTGACAAATATACTCGTTGTTAAAGTCAACATGAAACAATGTTTGCAACCTATTTTGCTTCCGTAATGTTACGTATTACAACTAAAACAGGATATGTGACCCTGGAGCACAAAACCAGTCTCAAGTCGCTGGGGTATATTTGTAGCAATAGCCAAAAATATATTGTATGGGTCAAAATTATTGATTTTTCTTTTATGCCAAAAATCATTAGGATATTAATTAAAGATCATGTTCCATGAAGATATTTAGTACATTTCCTACTGTAAATATATTAAAACTTAATTTTTGATTAGTAATATGCATTGCTAAAAACTTAATTTGGACAACTTTAAAGGCGATTTTCTCAGTATTCAGATTTTTTTGCACCCTCAGATTCCAGATTTTCAAATAGTTGGATCTCGGCCAAATATTGTCCTATCCTAACAAACCATACATCAATGGAAACCTTATTTATTCAGCTTTCAGATGATGTATAAATCTCAATTTCGAAAAATTTACCGGTTTTGTGGTCCAGGGTCACATATAAAACAAAAAAAGAGTTTTTAAAATGTATTTCATCTTGACTTTAAGCCTTGCAGTATGAATGTTGTCAATCTCTTTCTCTCTGTGTGTGTGTGTGTGTGTGTGTGTGTTTATGCGGTGATGTGGATAAACCTCTACAACACTGTTGCAAACTGAGCCTTTAATTTAGGTTTATTCTGACTAACCCTAACCAGAGTAATACAAACCTCAAAGCTGATGACTAGTCAGTTTGAAGTTTGATTTTTTGTGGATTACCACTTATAGCAGAGTTTTGTTGTTTAAATGACAGCTGATTCCAGTTCATACTTTAACTGTGTAGGTTTGCACTAAGACTAAAAAGCTGCCATTGGGTACCAATTATTTCACCTCCAATTTAAAATATCAATTTCAAAAAGTTTCAAAAAAACTCTAATGAAAACAAACTAATGAAAACTAAAAGCAATCTAGTGACTGTGTTTCTAATGTGATTCAAAAATAGGCTGAAATTAAAATTTCAGAAATATGCATGACATGAGCAGACCAAAAATGATTGACATGAGTTTGATTTGGTCAGCTGTAGGGAATATACATAATGAAGCCAAAACCGCAAGAGGTGTCACTGATATAAAATTCTCCTCTGATGAGTGAAATAGTCAGCCTATTTGAACACATTATCCCAGACAGGCTAATAACAGCTCTCTTCTTTAATTTCCACAGCTTCTACAAATACAATCCTCATCAGGTTTATCGGGCAACTAAAATTAGTTTTATCTTTATATTAGTTTTATAATAGCTGTAAAGTACTCATTTACATCAAACCATCATTAATTAGCCTATGTTTAATTTCCTTCTGGAAAGTGCCATCAAGGTCATGTGCACTATAGTAACCAGCTATATATTTAACACATAGACAAAGTGCATTCAACCCTTTGGTTTGCCATGTTCAAACACCCAAGAGAGCCCAAAGAATTAACGAAGGGTATGAGGACATGCTACTCTAGGCTCAGCTGCCCTAAACCACAGCTACAATTCCCCCAGACATGTCACTGTAAAATGTGATGTGCAGTTAACAGTGTCACCCAGTAAAATCTGAAATAGACTCCAACGAAGTGATACATGTCTCGGTCTCTCACTGGAATGGAAAGTCAAAGTGTGCATCATGCTATCGACAAAGTAAACACTATTGTGGGGAACCAGTGCTAGTTACCATACATTTGACTCTATAGTGACTATTTCTTAGGGAACATTTATTTTTGAGTCAACTTGCACTTGCCATTGAAAAAAATAAATACCGGGGCATGTTGTCACACTTTATGTGAACCTGATAATAGAGAGCCTGCCATGTATCGTATCATAGGCTAAATTTCGGGTAAATTTAAACATTTACAGAAAAACAGAGAGCACAGTTCAACCTTTCAGTTAAAATCTACCTTCATTATATAGCTGAGTCAAACCGAAATGTATATTATTGTGGTTATACATATTTTTTATGCAACAGGCATATAATGAAATATTATAAAATATTCATAAAATAACCTATTTTTTAAAATAAAAGATTTTAAGGGAACACTTTAGTATAGGGACCAAATCTCAATATTAACTAGTTGCTTATTAGCATGCCTATTATTAACATATTGGCTGTTTATTAGTACTTGCAAAGTACATATTCTGCATGACCATATTCTACATCCCTAATCATACCAAATACATAAACTTCACAACTTCCTTACTAACTATTAATAAGCAGCAAATTAGGAGCTTATTGAGGCAAAGGTTGTAGTTGAGGGTTTGTTAACGAGAATTGGACCTTTAAAGTGTGACGATTTTACTTTAAAAAAATTTAAAAAAAATAAAAAACATTCGGATATATATATATATATATATATTTCAATATACAAACTACAAAGCCATTGGAAAAGTAAGTGTAACTGAACTTTTGATTAAAATCTTCACAACCAAATTAGTTAGTCTGGTTAATTAGGTCTGAACCTAAATTATTAGGTCTTCTGGTCTTCTATTTGTCCCAAACACCTCTGCAAGGCACAATAAATCCAGCACCAAACATCTGTACTGTGGATGATCTGGCTCCATTCATACAAAAGCAGTTTCAGTCTTTGTCCATAACAAATCCTCACTCTATGATTGCCAAATAGGACAGTGCTAGTCTCAAACAGCCAGACATTTGACTTGCGGCATGAAGTCTGGTACACATTACAGCTTATTCAGGCCAAGAACCTTATGCTTACAAAGGAAGAGAGCAAAGAAATTACAAAATAAATATGTTGCAAGGTTAGAGTATTGATTCTTGGTTCATTTGGGTGATCTGTTACTGAATTTATATAAACATTCTTTAAAAGTAGCTAAGAATGACAAATAATGTGAATAATCACATGCACTCTACTTTATGATGTATTCCTGCATTTCATTAAAAGTACTTAATCGGCACTTGTAGGCTTGTTCTTGTAGGTATGTTTTGGTAAATGATTTCAATAGAAAATACTACTTTTATATACTATATATATAGTCCTGTCAAATGATTAATCGCGATTAATCGCATCCAAAATAAAAGTTTTTGTTTGCATAATAAATGAGTGTGTACTGTGTATATTTATTATGTATAGATTAGTAAACTACAAAAAAAGAAAACTGGTGTAGAAACAATTTTCACTCAGAAATTGCTACATTTTAAATTAAATTTCACAATTAATTACAAAGTAAGAGCAAGAAATAGCGAATTAAACATGAAATTGTGAAGTAGAAAGACTGAAATATTTTCTATTTCAATAGAAAATGAGATACTTCATGTTAATTTTAGATAACACTACTTTGTTTTAAATGTTCTTTTTCTTCTAAAGCATTCTGTTTATTTCTAGTTTTAAATTACAATGTAGAATCCTAGATTTTCAGTGTAGCCTCAGACTTATGAACTCCACTGTATAATTTATATTTTTAAAACAAAAAATGTCTTTTGACAAAGCTGTTGGTGGATTTTTGTACTGAAACAAGGAAGCGTTAACACTTATGTTACTGATAATGGGAGTGCAGTAGCTAGTGCCAATAGCCTCAAAATGACCAAATATTGGACAATTAATTAGCCTGATTGATATATCAGTCTGTTTCTAGTCATGACTATTTCTCAATAGCTTCCATGCAGTTCATGCAGCTGTTAAGTAACATGTCTTATGACCATGACGCAATGGTTACATCCTTTAGGAGGTACAGAGAAGAGCACAGGATGTTCTAGAATTTTCTAGTAATTTCTACATCTTGGATCTCTGTGCATCAGGTGACTAATACCTGTTTTGGTCATGTGCATAAACAAAAACACACATTTGTTGTAATTTTGAAACCGTAGGACATATTGCGCAATTGCCCACTGATAAACAGTTTACAGTGGCTGATACCAGTGCCGATATCTAGAGAACAGAATGGCTGATGTAATGCTAATATATATATATATAAATGTAAATAATTAATTTAAAGGAATAGTTCACCCAAAAATGAAAATTTAGTCACCCTCATCCAGGTCATCCAAGATGTAGATGAGTTTGTTTCTTCATTGGAACAGATTTGGTGAAATGTAGCATTCTATCACTTGCTCACCAATGGATCCTCTGCAGTGAATGGGTGCCGTCAGAATGAGAGTCCTAACATCTGATAAAAACATCAGAATAATCCACACGACTCCAGTCCATCAATTAACTTGTGAAGTGAAAAGCTGTCAGAACAAACCCATCATTAAGATGTTTCTAACTCCAAACCATTGCTTTCAGCTAAAAAAAAAAAAAATCAGGAGAGAAATATGCACGGATCAAGCACCATTTAAAAGTAAAAAGTCCTAACAGATCTAAATGAGTATGTCAGTGGATTTTGATGTGAGAGGACATCAGAGAATGGACTTTTTCACTGGAGGAATTGTTATCATGGATTATAGACTGGTATTTTAGCCAGCAACAGTTTAAGGTTTAAGCGCCTTGATGGATTTGTTTCTTAAAATCAGCTGTTTAAAAACTCATTCTGACGGCACCCATTCACTGCAGAGGATCCATTGTTGAGCAAGCGATAGAATGCTACATTTCTCCAAACCTGTTCCAATAAATAAACAAACTCATCTACATGTTGGATGGCCTAAGGGGGAGTATATTTTCAGCAAATTTTCATTTTTGGGTGAACTGTTCCTTCAAATGATATCATATGACACTATATTTCCTCAAAATCCACATTGAATTGAAAATAGAAAATGTTTGTTATTCTTTAACCAGGCTTTTGTTTGATTTTGGACAAGACGCAGGGGAATACCAATAATAAAAGTTTTGTTAAGTGGCTATAGTTATGGACTGATAATGATAATCTCAAAATTAACCAAATAT